CGTTTGCCTTTGAAAAATCCGTAAAGCGATCCATTTAAAGAAACCGAGAAGGAGGCAGTGGACACACACTCCATAATCCATGCAATAAATCTATCAGGGAAGCCCAAACCCCTCAAGACTTTGTCCAAGAAATCCCATGAAATCCTGTCGTAGGCCTTTCGCAAATCTACTTTAATCATACATCTCGGTGAGATTCGCTTCCTATTGTATCCTCTAACAAGTTCCTGGGCTAGGAAAATGTTATCAAACATTAGGCGGCCATCTATGAAAGCTTCTTGGGCTTGATTAACCAGTCCCGAGAGACACGAGGTTAATCGAGCCGCAATAATTTTTGTGATAATTTTATATAATACATTCGTGCACGAAATAGGTTTATAGTCCGACACTTTCGGGGAGTGATTAGTCTTAGGGATAAGTGCTATAACAGTATGATTGATCTGTTTGAGCAACTTACCCGTCCGAAAAAACTGCTTAATCGCTTGGACTATGTCATCCCCAATCAAACTCCAATTTGCCTTAAAGAAGGCCGAGGTAAACCCATCCGGCCCCAGTGCCTTGTCGTCCCCAATATCAAACAAAGCATCTTTAATTTCCTTGTTTGTTACCGGAGCAAGAAGGCTATCATGAACACTTGGTTCAATCAAGGGGCCGGTTCCTAAAACCGACGGGTCAAGGGGTAGGTTTATCTCGCTAGTACCAAATAAATTCACAAAAAATTTTACAAATTCATCTCCAACTTGATCTAAGGAAGTAGTGAGGCTACCGTCCTCCAAAACTATGGAAGAAATGGCGTTCCTTGTAGCATTCCTCTTCACGATGGCATGGAAGTATCTTGTGCCTTTGTCCGCCTCAAGTATGTGTGTGGCCTTTGCTTTTTGTTGGTAGAAGCATGATTCGGCCTCCCCCAAAAAGGTAGCTTTTTTCCTAGCAGCCACCACTTGCAATTTTAAATCCTCATCAAGAGGCGAGACTAGCAATAATTTATTCAACCTTTTGAATTCTTCCTTTGCTCTCTTAGCCTTCATTGATATATGCCCAAATTCCATTGCGTTGAGGTTCTTTAGCGGCCTTTTGAGCAGCTTTAGCTTCCTCACGATTGAAAACTGAGCCGTGCCATCAATAAATTGACTCCAATTCTGTGCTACTATGTTAGCAAAATCACAATGTTTAATCCACATATTAAAAAAATTGAAGGGTTTCGGCCTAAGAGAGGAATTACTGAGTAATGATATTACGGAAGCCGTATGATCAAACTCAACCTCCATTTCATGGAAATGGGCCTTACAACTAATACCAAGCTGCCCCCATACATCGTTGACAAGTACACGGTCGAGCTTAGCCCAAAGATTACCTTTATTCCACGTGAAAAATTCCCCGGTAGAAGGGGCATCCTCAAGGCTAGCTCGGACTATAAAATCAAATAAATGTTGCATTATATATGCCGTAGGTGGGGTAGGCCCAACCCTTTCACTTGGAGCACATATATAATTAAAGTCCCCCGTAACTATCCAAGGCTCCATAATTCGGTCACCAAGTACAGTAAGATTATCCCATAAAGCTTTGCGCTCCAAGACGGTATATAATGCATACACAAAAGTAACTTGAAAAGTTATTTGTGTAGTTCGGCAAACACATTTAACATGTATGAATTGTGCATCAATCATAACAACAACACAATCAATAAAAGAAGGATTCCAACAAATAGCCATACGGCCCCCTGTTATTTTTTCAAAATTATTTTCACAACGCCATCCCGGCCATTTATTTAAAACGTATTTATTAAAATTGGTCGTGGTCATTTTAGTTTCTACGAAACACCACAAATTCACATTATTAGATTTAACAAAGCTAGAAATTAAGTTATGCTTTGAGGTTTTGTTCAAACCTCGGACATTCCAAGCAAGGATATTAATCATCAAGTGAGATAGAAATCCGAGGAGTAACCATCATCCCCGGGTTGAACCTGTCCCTTCTCCTTTTCACGTTCGGCCTTTCTCTTTCTCCTTTCCTTTTCTTTAAGGTATTTTTTGTTCCAACTAGTGTTGGCATCAAAAAAATTAAACACTTCGTTGGTGAAAAGTAAAGTATCAAAGTCATACCAATCCTTGGTTTTTTTAACCATTGGGCAAGAAAGCAAGCATGGCTCGGTGAAGTAAACCCCCGGTTCCTCGCATGAAACCCATTGGAGATTTGGCACCAATTTGACCACTTTTTCATCATTTGGTATGTTATCCAAAGATTCTACAAAAATTACTCTCTTTCCATTTCCATCCTTGAACACTCCAGTAACGACATCATCCTCATACATTTCATGCATATTCCGAACCATATGCCCTTCGGGATCCTCAACAGTGCCTTGTGTGATCTCCTCCCCAGTTATTGGGTCATTTTTTTGTTCGTTTCACTCCAGGGAGGGAGTTAAGGCACGGGTTTGAGAAGGAAATAGCTGGAGCGTTTATATGTGGTTCCCTTTGTAGGTCCATTCCAACTCTTTCCACCGGGATGTGGCTTTTGATTTGAAATCTCTTTTTGACCCAAGCTAGCTGCACACCATCCTCCTTGGTTTCAAATTTGACCACAATATCATCATCTTCCATCTCGTACACGCTTGAAATACAGCGCCCTTCCCATTCAAAATCTCCCTCCTTAGGTTTCTTTCTTCCCGTTGGCTTGTCGTTTGGTAAGGATAAAAAATCCGGAAGCTTGAAAGTAGCTCTATTCCTCCTCGGCAAAACAGGTTGGAAAGGAGGTTCATTCGGTTCTCTAAGGACAATAGATTCATCCTTGTTCATCCCCTCTTCCCTCGGTTTTGTTATGTTATTAGCCGTCCCCACTGTTTTAGCCAAAATAGCGGCAGTCCCCTTCACCTTCTCCTTAGGCGGGTTGAGAATATTGCAAATAAAAGCATGATGACCAAATTTTTTGCAATGATAGCAAAAATTTGGGTAAGTCTCATAAATCACCCTTTGTATATACTCTTTACAGGATGGAGGTACAATTGGAAAGTGTGTCACCGGTGGCTTGGAGGCGTCAACTTCGATGAGAACACGAGCAAAGCTAGTATATGTTTGCTCTTGTGTGATCCTATCCGTAGTAATAGGTACTCCCACCATAGATGCAATACGTCCAATCTCATTAGCTTGCCACAACCGCATCGATAGCCTAGGAAATTTTACCCACATTGGTACCTTTAAAAATTCATCACTGTCTACCGAAAAATCCTCAGATAGTTCTTTAAGGAACATGGTTTTCCCATACAAAATGTAGGCCCCCTCGGACAGCACTTTGGTACGATCATCCTCGCATAGGAATTTAAAAATCACCCAACCTTTGCTATGTGTTTTGATTTGTACCTCAACTCGCCAAGCATTGGTCATTGCATATATGGCTTTAAGACCCGGAAATCTCCCCGAGAAGTGGCCTACCAAGTAATATCCCCACACCTCAATGAGTGTTGGAACTTTTAGGTGTGAAAAGTCCAATTTTTCCCCGGTGGGGTGGAAAATATTCAAGCTTTATACCCGAAGAGGGTGCACGGTTATTTTTTAATAAAGAAGCCCACTGTTTTGCACTCTCCCCTTTATTCTCCTCTAGCCTCTCCGGTATAGTATCTTGAGAACCGAGTGTAATAGAGACATCCGGTTCATCTTCTATGATAACATCGTTTTCATCCGAGGTCTCAATAACCTTTGTTGGTTCCTTTGATTTCTTTGCATATGTAGATGAGGATGCCCCCCCTAGAGCAACCGCAAATGATCCACCAGTTGGTTGGACTGTATGAGGATTATCTTATTTTATGTCATGTAAACTATGTATTATAGACCTATTGCCCCGTTCGATAATAAAACTCTTTGTACAATTCTTCTACAACATCATCAATTTTTTTTATCAACTTCGTCAAAAACAAGCATAGTCTGCCTGTTACGTCTCCAAAATACATACCCGCAACTGTAATCATTCTATTGTGAGCTACTCTATGTCTTGAGATTGAATGTAGTGAAGGCTACTGCTACAATTAGACAGGGACGATTCATAATTTCATACATATATTTTCCCATAAAATTAAGACTCACTTTGCAATCCCAACGATGGATATGTCCTCCAGACTCCACTAACACAATAGTTAGGGGCTAAACTGTGCCCAAGGACCAGTTTGTATTACCTCTTGGGCCAGAACACTCAAGGTATGGGCCTCATCGAAATCGGGATCCTCTAAAAGCATGAACCAAGACCAGAGTCATGTCAAGGATGTGATGTCTGGACCAAACAAACTTTTTTAAAGTGTAAAGCGTCCAAAAGCGATGACCCTGGGCTTTGCTTAAAAGCGAAAGCGCTAAGCGAAGCATAGCTTTTTCACAAAAAGCGATGCTTAAAAAAAAGGAAATATAAAATATAATGTATAATTATGCCAAAAATGCATTAGTAGTCATAAAAGTCATTCAAAATAATACTAGTGCGGCATAAAGTTTCAAAACATTCATCACACAATTACGCAAAAACACATAGCTAATCATAAAACTCATAAGGGTAATACTGGTGCGGCATATATATAGATAAAAACATTCATCACATAATGTCATAGTTTCATTAAAAAAGGTTCTTAGTGGCTTCATCATTCCATCGTCTCATCCTCCTCGTCATCAAACTAGCCTTGTTCTTCTTAGTGGTTCATAGTTTCACAAATGTTTAATCAAGTCATCAAGCAAGTGTACAAAGAGCAATGGAGACCTTATTACTTGGTGGAATAAACTAAAAATTAGTTAATCAATGAGAGGAAAGAAATAAACTGAAATGAAGTAATTAAGTAACAATTATTTAATCAATAAACTAAAAGGAATAAACTGGAATGAATTAAAAATTAATTAATCAATAAACTAAAAGGCATAAATTGGAATGAAAAAAAATTAATTAATCAATAAAGTGAAAGGAATAAACTGGAATAAACAAAAAACTAATTAATCAATAAACCGAAAGTAATAAACTGGAAATTAAATCTATCATAATTACCAAGAAAATGATAATATAATGATTTCTTTCATTCATATATATTGAACGGTGATGAAATAGAAGTTTATTATACAAATAGAGTAAACTGTAAAATTGAAACAGAGTAAAATGAGCTGCAGAAGTTCAGGGCTCCAACTACAATCACGTAAAATTGAAGAACGATGATGAAATAGAACGATGGTGAACCTACGCAGCACCGGCGAGAAAGCCTGGGAAAACTGGGAGAACTCCTCTTCGGCTCTTCAACTGCAATTTCTTCAGCTATGTCTGGACTGTGGAGTGGGAAGGAGTCAAACAACCCGAACTTGTAGCATCGAGATGAGAAGACCAGATTTAAAAAAAAATGACCAGTCAATTTACCGCCTTTCGTGAGAAGCCATGAAAAGCGATCGCTTTTCATTAAGCGAGCTCAAGCAAAAGTGCTGGAAAAGCTTCGCTTTCTCATGGTGCGGCGCTTCTCAAAAGCCAGGCGCAGGTTTAGCGCTCGCCTGCGCTTTGCCGCTTTTAGGCGCTTTTCACCACTTTTGACACCAAACAGTCCGGTTGTCAAACAAGTAGGGGAGGAGGAGTGGTGTACACTGTACAAAAGATAGTTTTGCATACTTCAATACCCCGAGTAAATTATGAAGTCTGCAGTTTGAAAAACACATATACTTGCGTCAAGCCAGAGTAGCAAATCTTGAACACTGTAATATATACAAGCTTATATGGAGAAACTCAACTATTTATGAACCCCAGATGGAGAGTGCATTAAACACGTATATTACATACAGTTATGTGCTTGTCGCTTTGACCAATTCTTCATTTTCACCTTCCAGCAGTAATCTGAACTTGAGAATCTTATGAAACTGGGTAATTGGCTTTACTTGCTTACTTGTTTGCTTAGGATCTCCTGTGCATTTCCCTGATAAAAGGTTAGCTTCAGATGGCCCGGTCTCTTCATGAACCACTGGAGAGGTATCTGCAAAGAGAGCTTTATCACAACGCTTGAATACTGGCACGTTGTTTTAGAGTGGCTTATCAGGAAATTATTTTCATCTGGTGCATATTATACTTTAATATCTATAACTAAACTTAGGGGAGAGCCTGCATGGCTGCATATGTATATTTACGTAAAAAGGGATCCATGTGTATGATTGATGTGTTGTTAGTCGTTACATGTAGGATTGATGTGTGGCTATAAAGCTTCACACCATTATCTTGGTCCAAAAGGTGGAATCTCCCACCCCAGGAGCCCCCACCCGACCCGACAGGATGGTGGGGAGGTTAATCACGGTGACTCAGTCAGCAAAGCGGCGGTAGGCCTTATACACGCACCAGAGGTCCAACCTTATTTCAGGTTCTGTAACCTCCACACGGCCGCTGCGGGTTTCGAACCTTGGTTACTTGGTCCAATTTTCCCACCACTCGACCAACTGAGCTACCCGTGCGGGTAGCTTCACACCATTATCGACATTACCATTGGGATATCAAAGGTTATTATCACCCAGATGTGGAAAAAGTTTCAAAGTTAATGTCTCACCGCTTCCACTAAAAACAAGGCACGTCCCAATAGTCTCCACATATTCTCCTACCTGTGAAAAGTAACACGAAATAAAAGGGAATGTAAGATTAGAGAATTATATTTCAACAACATACTATCTGATGAAGAGAATGAAGCCTTATAGTGATAGTTCTAAAGAGCATGTTTTTTCTTTTTTGTGATCAAGAGATTGCGGGACAGTGTGTGTGTGTGTGTGTGGGGGGGGGGGGGGGGGGGTTACAAAAAATATCATGATGCAATCATATCTAATATTGAGAGCTCAATAAATATATGGTCAATAGCAGCATGGAATTCTAAATGTTTTAAAATTTTCTTCAAAACTACTATCCAGAAAGATAAACAGTAAAACAAAATTATTAATTAAAGAATACCATTGATCTAAGAGTAAAAATCCCATTGCTCACCAGCTTGATTTTTCCGTCAATGTTCAGAATGGGGTTCACAGTATCAAGACCCTACATTATTTATTAGTATGTCACGAATCTAGAAAAACCAATGCACATTTAAGCATAAGTAATTAGAACATCAGGTAGTATAATTTGGTAATAGGGGAAAAGGTATACAATACCGAAAGGACATAGGGGGCATTTGTGGGAAGTGATATTTGGTCAGAGACATCATCCAGATCCATCAGTACATACTCTTCCTTCTCCAATTCATGATCATGGCATTGTGAATTCTGTTCCATCACACCTTAGTATCTGCACACGGCACACTAATAAAAAAACTCATAATTTTGGAAAGCAGCCTTCACAAGCATTATGAGTTTGGTGACTTAATTCACATATAATATGCCCCAGAATATAATATGGGCATTATACTCACATAACTTACATAAGTGTATGGTTTCCAAGCATTCGCTAAAATACACATTTTTTTAAGGAATTTTATCAATTCAGGACCCGAAAGATAGATTAATTATCAATTCAGGACCCGAAAGATGAAACATATCGGTATAGGACCCGAATGATGGAAAACTATCAATTTAGGACCTAATGTTCCATAGGTTCTGATTTATTTAATTTTTTATTAATTCCATTACTAATTTTTGATAAACTTTTCTTAACAAAAGTTAATTAGTTTAATAAAACTAAATAGTATTTAAACTTTTTAAAATAAAAAATAAAATAAAATTTATGACAACTTAGGTCCTAAATTAATAGTTTTCAATCATTCAGGTCCTAAATTGATAGTTTATCATCATTCGGGTCCTATATTGATGCATTTCATCTTTCAAGTCCCGGATTGATAATTCTTCTATCTTTCGGGTCCTGAATTGATAAAATTCCTTTTTTAAAGGTTGTAGGATACACCTGATACACGTTCCAGACCTATTAAATGTTTCTTAAACATTAAAAATTAAAATCAGCTTATCTATGATCTTTTTAAAATGATACAAGCCCAAATATTCTTTTCTACAATAAGCAATCACACCTCTAATTCTCTAATTCTTTCTACATTTACTACTACGACCGTTCACCGAATTGGCTCCAACCTTTTACTTCCATAATTCAAAGAATTCACTTAATGAAGCATTTCCAAGCTTCAGTTATCAAATATTCACAAAATACTATCATCATCATCATTAGCCCAGTGCCGCAAAGGCTCCCACCTACGGTGGGGTAAAAAATATGACCCATGGTGAAATCGCGTCAGAAAGTTGCATGAGTTGTCTGCTGCTTCATAACAAAGAAGTGCAGACAGTTTAGTGAGTCACTTTTCTTTATTCCATCATATTCACAAGCCAAAAAATAGTGAATCTTTGGCTTCATTGCAAATGATGGAACTAATTTTGTTATTCATATAGAAACATAATCATAAGATGTCATTTATCCTTGATAAACTTTTAGATTTATGGTCAAAATTCCAAATCTAATGATACTCTTGACAAAAAATGAAACTTCAGAGTTTAGACATACTCTATTAATTGGCCTATTTTTCTTAGAGTGAGTTATGATTTATGATTATGAATTGAAGTTCTACATCTTAGATTGTTACAGAAGCCTCAAATGCCAAATTTATCATTATTGCTTGTGAGTAATATATACATACTTTATATCATAATTTTGAAAAAAGGGAAATTTTAAATTGTGTACATACCCATATTCCTAATGTTTAAAAGTTAAAACATATACTTAGCTTTCATTTACAAAATCCAAACGTATAATACACAGTCACAAACGTATGTATTTTTGTATGTTCACTAATTGTATAGTACTAACAAAGATTATGAGTCAAGTGAGACATGTGTCTAATCCCACCAAAACTAAAAAAAACTCAACTATTGATTGTTTTCAAGCATATTGATTGTTTTACTTTTTCTTTACATTTTTAATTTTATATAGCGAGCTAAATTTTACTTCTATTAAATTCTTTTTCTCTTAATTCCATCATGTCTTATAGAAAAAATTATCTTGAATTAAAAAAGTTACGAATTTGAATAGGCACTTGATTAGTTTTTCATTAGTTATGAAGGTAAGGCATCAAAATCAAATTACTGAAAATAATATAGAAATTGATAGAGAAGAAAACACGCACTTAAAGTTGTCTACAAGTAAGTTTCACTTTCTTCCACACTTGAAGTTGTCTACGCGTAAAATGCACTTTCCCACAGGCTTTAGATTGGAAATGTCGGGAACTGAGATTTCTAATGATATTTATAAATTAGAGAATTACCTTTGGCATTCTGTTGATAAAACGAAGAGACATCATTAATCTAGGATTTATTTTCCTTATTATTACTGTAATTATGTATCTTTAGTGCTTCAGGTTGTATTTAATAGCTGCTGTCTTTTCAGTTCTCAATCATTTATGTTTAGTATTTAGACAGTCACCTAGGGTGCTGAATAGACTCTCTCAGGATTCCTATCTGTATAAATAGCTTATGTACTTCTTGTAAATGAATTCAAGGAAATAATATTCAGAAAACTTCATGGTATCAGAGCTTGGTTTCGTCTAAGCCTTTTTTGAGTCAGTCTATCACCTCTCCAACGGCCATTTTTTGGGTGTCTCTACCCTTCTCTCTCTTTAACTCCCGGTGGAGTCTCTTCATCAAGGGTTTTATCATGTCTAAAGAAGCCGAATCAGCCTCAAGTAACCTTGATCACTCAACCATTGTTTCAGCTGCTACTGCAGCCGCGTTTGCTCTTCGAAACCAGAAATTTGATCTCCCTTCTATCCCGCCATCTTACCGTCTCAATGGCAGGAACTATCTTGGGTGGTCAAAGCTGGTTTACACTCTTCTACGTGGCAAAGATCTTGAAGATTATCTCACTGTCTCTACCCCAGAAGAAGGAGAGATTGATGCTGCTATTTGGGAGAAAACTAATGCCAACGTACGGGTCTGGTTATGGGACTCTATGGATCCCAACATTAGCAGTACATGTTTATACATGGACTCGGCTAAAGAAATCTGGGATTTCATACAGCAGTCCTACTCTGTTGCTAAAGATGGCGCTTTTGTCTATGACTTATGGCTCAAAACAACGAATCTTAAGCAAGATTCACAATCTGTCACAGATTATGCAACTGACCTCCAACGACGATGGTCTGAACTTGACCAGTATCAAACGATGAAATGGTCGAATGCTGCAGATGCAGCTCTTCACAAGAACTATATAAATCAGCAACGTCTATATTGCTTCTTGTCTGGTTTAAATCCCGAATATGATCAGACTCGGGGTCAAATTCTTGGCATTACTCCTCTGCCTTCCATATCTTCTGTCATTGCCACTATCAAACATGAAGAGAGCAGACGCAATATAATGATGAATACAAATCTGATTGACAGTACAGCTCTTGCTGCCAAATCTACTCCTTCAGATGTTAAGGAAACTAAGGGTAGTAAGGGAGGAAGATGGTGTGATCATTGCAAGCGGTCCAACCATAATGTGGATACATGCTGGAAACTTTATCCTCATCTACAGAAAGAAAGGAAAAGCCAAGACAGACGTGGAATGAGTGCTGGACGTGCCAACTCAGTCACTCCCACTATTGTTGAGAGCTCTACTAATCTTTGGCCCATTTCCCAGGAGGAATTAAAGCAAATTCGTATGATGTTACAGTCTCTTAATAACTCAAATGGTTCTGGTCATAGCTCTTTGGCCCTGCAAGGTAAAACCTCTACTATTTTTTGTCTTAATGCTTCGGAACAGAGTTCACAATCCCAATGGATATTAGACTCAGGTGCCACATCTCATATGACTGCCATACCCTCTTTACTCTCTAATTATCATCCATGTTTTACATCCACGCACATTACTACTGCTGATGGGACACCTACAAAGGTTGCGGGACTTGGTACGGTTGTTTTTTCTGAAAAATTAAATCTGAAAAACACCCTACATGTCCCAAACCTGGCTATGAACCTTGCTTCTATTTACAAACTCACAGTTGATCTTAATTGTGCTGCCATTTTTTTCCCTTCCCACTGTTTATTACAGGATCTACACACGGGGAGGACGATTGGAATTGCTAAACAAAGAGATGGCCTGTACTACCTTGATGCACTGTTTGTCTCCAAACCTCCACAAAAAGCTCTTACCACAATCACAGCCAATACCAACACTATTTGGCTTCACCACAAGCGTCTTGGTCATCCCTCTTTTCATGTCCTAAAAACCATGTTTCCCAGTCTTTTTAGTAGTATGATGTTTCTACATTTCAATGTGATGTCTGTGAACTTGCTAAACAGTCTCGTGTATCTTTTTCCAGAAGTAATACAATCAGTTGTTCTCCTTTTGATATTATACATAGTGATGTCTGGGGTCCTGCTCCAATTGCTAATATATCTGGTGCCCGGTGGTATGTTACATTTATTGATGATTGTACACGTTTTATGTGGGTTTTTCTGCTAAAAAACAAGAGTGAGGTGAGTTCCATCATTCCTATCTTTTGCAATATGATTCATAATCAGTTCTCCGCCACAATAAAACGCTTCCGCACTGATAATGCTCTTGAATACTTCAATCAAACCGATTCCTCTTATTTCCTCTCAAAAGGCATTGTTCATGAGTCCTCTTGTCCGTACACACCACAACAGAATGGCACAGCAGAAAGAAAAAATCGCCATCTCCTAGACATCAGTCGGGCTTTATTGTTTCAATCAAATATGTCTAAACACTATTGGGGGGAAGCCACACTCACAGCATGTCATCTCATCAATAAAATTCCCAGTCGGGTACTCCAAAATAAGTCACCCCTTGAATCTCTCCGTCATTTCTTTCCTCAAACCAGAATTTCTTCTGATCTTGATCTAAGGGTGTTTGGGTGTACTGCATTTGTTCATATTCCTCCACCTCATAGGGGAAAATTGGACCCACGATCTATTAAGTGTATCTTTCTTGGTTACTCTCCAACTCAGAAAGGATATAAGTGCTATAATTCTACAACCAGAAAGACATACACCAGTGCAGATGTGACCTTTCACGAAGACACACCTTTTTACACTCCTACTTCTCTCCCTGTATCCCAAGATACTCCACATCCTTCACCTCTGCCCACCTATACTATTACATCTTCTCCACCACATACAATCTCCTACCCTCCTAAGCCTTTATCACCAGACATCCCATCACCACCACCACCACATGATCATCCATCACATTCCTTAGATGTGTCAGCAACCTCACCTACTTCCCAACAGTCTTCAACATCACCTGAACCTCAATCAAATACACCACCAGATCATCCCATTCCTACACCTACTAAATCCACCACTCATGACCCATCTTCTCCTCTACCAGTGACAAAAGTGTACTCAAGGAAAAACAGGTTCACTCCATTGTTGACGCATGACCAATTGGCTGACCCAGGTAATGTCTCTTCTTCTCCACCACCATCTCCGCCAATTGCTTTACGCAAGGGTGTACGTCAATGTACCAAAACACCTCTATACCCTCTTGCTAATTTTGTTACCATTGATAACTTCTCTCCTTCACATGCCTTGTTTGTTCAGAGACTTAATGAAATTCCCATACCCAACTCTGTTTCTGAGGCATTAGGAAAGAAAGAATGGAGGGATGCTATGCAAGAGGAAATTAGAGCTCTTGAAAAGAACCATACTTGGGATATTGTGACTAAACCTCCTGGGAGGCATGTTGTTGGTTACAGGTGGATCTTTACTGTCAAATACAAGGCTGATGGATCTCTTGAGCGGTACAAAGCTCGTCTTGTGGCTAAAGGATACACTCAGACGTATGGGATTGACTATCAAGAGACCTTTGCTCCTGTAGCTAAGCTCAATACTGTCCGTATCCTACTATCCTTGGCATCTCACTTTGATTGGCCTTTATTGCAATTTGATGTCAAGAATGCTTTTCTCCACGGTGACTTGCATGATGAGATCTACATGTACATTCCCCCAGGCTTTAATAAAACATCAACAAGAACCTCTACACATGTATGTCATTTAAAAAAAGCCCTCTATGGTCTCAAGCAATCCCCTCGTGCTTGGTTTGACCGCTTCACACAGGTTGTTCTTGCTGCTGGGTATAGTCAAAGCCAAGGGGATCATACTCTTTTTTACAAACACTCTCGCCCAAATGGAGTCACTATTCTTTTGGTATATGTGGATGACATCATTGTGACGGGTAATGATCCAGTTGAGAAACAATGTCTTGAGGGGCAGCTGAAATCCAAATTCGAGATGAAGTCTCTTGGCCCTCTAAAATACTTTCTTGGAATTGAAGTTGCTCGCTCATCTGAAGGCATCTTTATCAGCCAACAAAAGTACATTACAGATTTGTTAAATGAGACCGGTAAGAGTGCTTGTCGACCGGTTAATGCACCTATGGATCCTAATCACAAGCTTGGACTTGCTACTGATGAACCCAAGGTTGATTCATCAATGTATCAGCGCTTGTGTGGCAAACTTATCTATCTCTCTCATACTAGACCTGACATTGCCTATGCAGTTAGTGTTTTGAGTCAGTTCATGCATGATCCAAGGAAACCACATCTAGAAGCAGCCTATAGGGTTCTTCACTACCTAAAAGGAAGTCCAGGGCAAGGGATAATATTCAGGAAGGGTGGGCAATTATCAGTCCAAGCCTTCACTGATGCAGATTATGGTGGCTCCCTCGTTGACCGCCGGTCAACTACTGGTCTCTGTGTTTTCCTAGCAGGAAACCTCGTGACATGGAGAAGCAAAAAACAGAATGTTGTGGCACGATCATCTGCTGAATCTGAGCTAAGAGCTCTTGCCCATGGCTTATGTGAACTTCTATGGATCAGAATTATTCTCTTAGATTTACGAATCAAGTGGAAAGGACCAATGGAATTGAGGTGTGATAACAAATCAGCAATCAACATAGTTCATAATCCAGTCCAACATGATCGGACCAAGCATATTGAGATTGATAGGCACTTTATCAAAGAAAAGGTTGAAGGAGGTCTGATCGAACTAAGCTACACTCCCTCAGAAGATCAAGTTGCAGATGTGTTTACCAAACCTATGCACAGTCCTAGGTTCCAGGGTCTTATTGTCAAGCTAGGCATGACGGATATCTACAAACCTAGCTTGAGGGGGAGTGTTGATAAAACGAAGAGACATCATTAATCTAGGATTTATTTTCCTTATTATTACTGTAATTATGTATCTTTAGTGCTTCAGGTTGTATTTAATAGCTGCTGTCTTTTCAGTTCTCAATCATTTATGTTTAGTATTTAGACAGTCACCTAGGGTGCTGAATAGACTCTCTCAGGATTCCTATCTGTATAAATAGCTTATGTACTTCTTGTAAATGAATTCAAGGAAATAATATTCAGAAAACTTCACATTCATATGAAAACAATTAATTATATTCCGGGGGAAACAGATTAAATGTGACTTTTTTAAAACCCGGTTTCATAATGTCAAGACATGTAAAAACCAGTAAAAAGCAGGCAATGTGAAAGCATATAAAACTTAGATATAGGAGAGTGGAATACATCATAGGAAATAATTAATGAGAAACAAGGCAAAGCTAATGCAAACTTGAGGCACACATGTAATTTGTTCTGCAGGGAGAAAAAGGATATGAAAGACCATATAGCTATAAGCAGCGCACAAGATGTGCATTTATTAGGTAATACGGAGTAGTATTTTTGGATGATCTTTGGTCCGAACATACTTCTAGTCTAGTCTAGTAATAAAACCATAAAATAATACTCCGTACAAGGACAGGACAAACGAAACGCATCTATGCGCAGAGAGGCAACTCAATACTGTGGTTTATTGATTTACAATAATAAATCCAGACATTTTTACAAACATATTATAAGCATTACCAAACTCAAAAAATTGGTGAAAAGATTTTGAAGACTATCCCAGAATCCAGAAGTAGTATAAATATATAAACGAACTCAGAGTAAACAATTTTTTTAATATCAATTACGAGTAGTAGATACTACGCAGTTCAAAAGAGCATTTTTACCTGAATAGAGGGGAAGAGAGGCGACGGACTGGCCGTTGGGGAGCAACGCTTGGCGGGGGAGGATACAATACTGATGAGGTAGGAAATAGGAACGACGGTAGAGGGTCGGGGGCAGTCTTCGTCGCAATCGAGCCTGGAACGACGCTTCTATGCCATGAATTTAGGGATTAATGTCTGCAAGTTTAGCTAACTACTGCAACTCTGCAAGTAGAGAAGAAAACTCTAACGTATAATAGCTTCAGAGTTATACATGAACGGGAAGAATTATAGGGAAGATGATAGATTCTCGGTAACCAAGCTTGTCATCAAGCTAGAATTTGGAAATTTCAACTCAAAGGGAACTCAGGAGTCAGGATACTTCTTGACAGTGGCGGAGGTAGGGATCCTAAATTTTGAACGGGGTTTGGTCCACATCAAATTTAAAAGGGAGATGCTCGGCGCACCCAAACTATTACTTTATGTAACCATAGTAAGACCATTTTGTCCTTTTCAATTCTTATAAAAAAATTAAAATCGTCAAATAAGCTCTTCTACTTTGTACGGAAAATCAATGGGGTTTTGACGTGAATATTATTTTAAAAAAGGTAATGGACAAAAAAGAGACCTCTTTTTTTAACTTCCAAAAATATGACTAATAAATTCTTACTTTCCTAATTTGCCCTTCCCGTCCAATCGTCAACATTGCAACTCAATAATTCATACTTGGTAACATTGCAGTCTTGCATTACCAGCCCACTAGGGGTCTTAATGGTGGGCCTAACTCCTAACCTCCTAACCTCCGCATACTCATATCATCCGCATACTTTTTATTTTTTAACTTCACGAACATTTGCTCTTGCACACTCAACCTTTAATTTTTCTTTTGATTTTAATATTATATAATATTGCACTAAAAATTGTAAAAAAAAATCATTTTAGTTACCGGTGCTTTAGTGACTATCGTCCCAATTACTATCATTTCAGTGACTAACATCTCAGTTATTATCGCTTCACTTATTACCGCTCCAATGGCCAACATCCCAGTTACTACAGCTCAAGTGACTACGTCCCAGTTACTATCGTTGCAGTGATCACCGTCTCAGTTACTACCGTCTCAGTGAGTACCGTTTCGGTCACTATCACTCCAGTGATCACCGTGTCAGTTACTACCACTTCAGTGGACACCGTCTTAGTTACTACCGCTCCAGTGATCATCGTCTCAGTTACGCCATAGTGACCAACTGACCATCGTCCAACCCAAGACTGCTACCTCGCTGCTTTGACACTAAAGTGATCAAGAACAATGGGTTTGACACTCCAGTAATATAGTTGCAGGGTTGCAACATAGTAACACCCCTCGATGACAAATCACCACCCTTCAATTTGTATCACTCTAACCCAATCCTTCCCCTGCCTCACTCTACCACCAGAAAATGTCACTACCCAAGCTTGACATGGTGACACCATCAACTGCTATGAACCAACGGCCAAACCCAATGCTAGATCCTTCCTAACTCATATCACTGCCCGAACAACAACAAAACTCACCACCAATAATCGAAATCAATTTAATAGTCAGCCTAACTCCTAACCTCCAAAGCAGGATGAAAAAATCACCCAAAAGCGAGACTCAATTTGCATAATAGAGAAGAAGAATAAAAATAGTAGAAGAAGCTGATGTGGGCGGGGTTGGGGAAGAAGACATACCCTAGTCGTTGGAATGGGTTGCGTCACCGGAATCGAAGTCCGGTAGAAGACTTGATGTCCATCCTTGAAAACCTCTGGTTTCGCCGTCGCAGATATGGGTTCCCTTGGACCCTTCGCCCTCGCCGGAATCGAGCCGGGTTGGAGTCGATCGAAGGCTTGCAAGTCCTGCACACATGAAACGACCTGGAGTAAATATCGGGGTAGTTTAGATATTTCATGTCTACGTAGATCACATATTCGTCCAAAAGAGAAACTTGTCTCATTTTTGTGGATAGAGAAGCTGTAGCTATTATTCCCGTCATTTTTTCAAAATCAATTAAGCCCCCTACTCTAAATTCATTCATTTCAGTCCACGAAGTCTAAAAAACAACCAATTAGGCCGTTTGGAAGGTTACCAACCGGTAACCCCGTTCACTGCTTATGTGGCAGCCTAAGTGGCAGTTTTTAAGTTGGCTGAGTAAGTTGACATGTCAAATATTTTTAAAGATGCAATGGGAGTATATTAAAAAATAAAAAACTAAACCCTAAACATTTCAAATTAAGCCCTAATGTTTCAATGTTGCCAGTGACGTCATTCAACTCTCAGTGAAGAAGAACGACGCCATTGAAATGGTCCTTACCAGAAGTGAAACGCAACCAACATCTGTTTGAGTGGTCGGATTTAGTACAACCGCACAGGTAATATTCGAACTCTACTTTTATACAACCCCACACATTTTTACATGTATTTGCTTGGTCGGATTCGCTGTTTGCCCAACTCTGTTTGTATACACGATTAAGTGGAATTGATTGGTAGTGTGTGTGTTTAAACATTTTCCCCGTAATTTGAGTAGTGATTTTTTCCTTGAAGTGATTCATTGGTTGTTTTGTACAGCATGTTTGGCAGGGTCGAGCTCATTATTCACCATGGAGGGAACTTTGTTAGTACTCCTCCTAGCATGTGCGTAGGTGGTGAGGTGGACATCATTAAAGTAGATCCTGATTTCATAAGCTATACTCATCTGATGAAGTCTCTAAAATCAGGATCATATGGGAACATTTGTGGGCTATATTTAGGGATGGCAACGGGGTGGATCGGGGGCGGGTACACATAAAACCGAAAGCGCCCCGTTGGATAAATGTTTGCCCCAAAACCGCCCCTTTACCCGTCCGGGTAATTTTTATTTGAACCGTACCCGCCCCAACGGGGAATCGGTTTATCCACGGGTAACCGTTTGCCCAAATGATACCAAATAACCAATTTCTAATCCCACTTGTTATTTACATATTCAAAGCACCCTAAAACATACAAAAGTAAATATTTAAGCAATCAAGCAAACTGGCCTAAATTCAATAGACATCCACCTAATATCTCTTGTAACATAATAAAAAAGTAGTAATCACCCCAGAATCAAAATTCTAAAAACTGGTTTAGTCGTATATTTAGTTTTAGGCCTAAAAAAGTAGTAATCCATCACACACAAAACAGTTTTAGGCCTAAAAAAGTAGTAATCCATCCCAAAAACAATGTTTTAGGCCTAATTCACAAAAATTGTTAGGGTTTTTTGAAGTGGGCCTCTGGTGTATTATTCTTTATATACTTATATGATATATACAATTTAGCATATATACTTATTATTCTTATATATAAAAGTTATAATTTATTAATAATGTTACGGATCGGGTAACGGTGCGGGTAACCGCACCAATAGTGAACGGGGCGGTTTCGGGGCGGATAATGGGGCGGATTAGTATAGAACCATAACCGCACCATTATCCATTTAAAAATTTCGGGTATTCCCCGCCCCGTACCCATTCCCCAGTCAAACCGGTTTTCCCCAGTTTGACCAAATCGGTTCGGTGCGGGTATCCAACGGGTCGGCCGAAATTGCCATCTCTAGCTGTATTACAAAACACCAGAACAACCAATGGAGATGTTACATGAATTGTTCAATGATGCATCAACCATAGATCTGATATATATGGGTACAAGGTGTGGGAAGTGTGAGATTTATGTACATCACAGTCCTGATGAGGCTGAATTAGTTGAAATTCCTCTATTACCTGTGCCAACTACGAATGCCAATGGTAAACTTGTACCTCAACATGATGAAGAACCTGTTGGTTTCACATTAAATGAAGAACCTGTTATAGGTGGTCATGCAGTTGTTGACCAAACGATAGAAGGGTTAACATCACATGATGCAGAGGAGGAATACAAAACTAAAAGTGACACCTCAGAAGGGGAAGACAGTGTTGAGTATGACTCATCGAATCCAAGAAGCTACAATGGTGAACCAGAACTACATGACCAACCTAGAGAACACTTTTGTACTTATAATCCTGATTGTGAGCCTCCTAACATACAGGTGGGAATGTATTTTGAAGATGGTACACAATTCAAGAGTGCTCTTGTTAGATATGTTGTGCATGAGAAAAGAGATATAAAATTTGCCAAAAATGAGCCACACAGAGTCCGGGTGAAATGTGGTGGTACATGTTCTTTTTCTTGTACTGGTACATGGGATGAGAGATTGAAGTGCTTTCAAGTGTCGGTTTTCAACGAAGAACATCAATGCAATTTGAAGTATAAGTTGGGGATAGTTAGTCAGAAATGGATTGCAGAAAAGTTTGAGGATAAGGTTGTTGATGATCCTACTATGACTGCATTGGAGCTGAAGAAACTGATTAAAGCTGAGCTCAAAATACACGTTTCTACCAGTATGGCTACCGGGGTTGTGAGGATTATTCAAAAGAAAACCCAAACAAATTGGAAAGAGCAATTCAAAAAATCAGAAACTATGCAGAGGAATGCCTACAGTCTATTCCTGACAGTACAATGGTCATTCTCCCTCTATATTTCAACGCATATATGTGTGCTTCGGACCAGTTAAAAAAGGGTTTCTTGAAGGTTGTAGGAAGGTTGTTGGACTAGATGGGTGCTTTCTTAAAGGTCAACTGAAAGGGGAGATATTATCAGCAGTAGGTAGAGATGCCAATAACCAAATGTACCCCATTGCATGGGCGGTAGTTGAGATTGAAAACAACTCGTCATGGGCCTGGTTTCTAGAGCTTCTGAAAACTGATCTGCAAATCACTAGGTCAGATTTGTGGACTATCATAAGTGACCAACAAAAGGTAAGTAACATTATATATACATGTAATGATTTAAGCTTACAATATCAGCTGTTACGACTGTTAATTACATATATCTTGGCACTGCAGGGTATTTGTAATGTGATTGCAAGAGTTTTCCCAGAGGCTGAGCACCGGAATTGTGCTAGACACATTCATGCGAATTGGAGCAAAACCCACAGAGGTTTGCTTCTTAAGAACCTGTTCTGGATGTGTGCAAAGTCCACTTGCGAGGAACAATTGCAGGCTGCATTAGCGGAGTTGGATAAGGCAGATAGTGATGCTGGTAAAGACTTGCACAAAATTGATTTCAAATTATGGTGCAAGGCATATTTTAGAACGGATGTGAAATGTGATACTGTTGAGAACAACTTATCAGAGGCCTTCAATAGCACCCTTCTCAAATGCAGAGGAAAACCTATTATTCCAATGCTAGAGGACATTAGAGTTGCAATGATGAAAAGGATTGCCAAAAAAAGGAAATATGTCCAAAAGTGGTCAGGTATAATATTTACTTCAATTGGTAATGGATAATTAATTCCCTTTATAATCTGGTTGGCATAATTTCAGTCC